CAGCAACAACCAACCAACCAACCAACCAACCAACCAGCCAACCACCCAACCAACCAACCAACCAACAAACAAACAAACAAACAAACAACAAACAAACAAACAAACACACGCAGACATAGACAAAGCGAGCCAACACAAGCAATCAAATCAACACGCCCAACCTACCTCCCTGCCCGCCTACCTGCCTACCTGCCTCCCTAGCTAGGTAGCTAACTAGCTAGCTACCTACATACATACGCATGCAGGTGAGTGTGTGTGTGTGTGCGGGCATGACAGAGTTAAAGCCGATACGGCTCTGTATGCGTGCACAAATACAGCTTCCAGGGTTCTGTCTGTAATTATATATGTGTGCAATTGCCACTGGTTATGCGCGTGTGCTTACTTGCATATACATACAGTATGTCTGTATACATGCACGTAAACATGTACATACAGCAACACAAACACGCACACGCATACACACGTCGACAAGTATACACGGACCCAGAGGTGCTTACAGACAGACAGAGTTACCCACACAGAGACATGCAAGCGACGTCGAGAAATCTTTGCCTGACATCTCAAGCCGTAATCCTGAACCCTGAACCCCAAGCTTTCAGAATCAGCGAGGCTTTGCGACATGATGTGCACATAGACTCACTTTGATGTTTCGTATGCTGACGCGACCTGAAACCCTAAATCCACACTCTTTTTTTTCCAAATATCTCTGATCCCTAGACCCTAGAATACCTTGAATCTGAGGACCCTGAAACTCTAAACCCTCATATAGGGGTCGGAGTAGTTACTGTACCGATTCCAGACTACTCCTCATTATTATAAGCATATAGTAATAGCATATACCACAAGACCCTCTTGTAGTTTTTTAAGGACCCTACTTTCAACCAGAAGGTTTGGGCGGAAGCTCGATCGCGCAACAGCTGCGGCTACCTTTTCCGACAGTACTCGCAGCTGGCTCTGGTGCAGCCCTGCAGGGGTGAGCTGCCATCCTTCGACTCTTCTTTGGACAGCTTGCTTTCTTCTTTTAGGGTTTAGGGGTTTAGGGTTTTTGGGATAAGTTCAGTTCGATGAGGCTTTTTGCGGGTTGCATGGCCTCAGGGCTGCTACAAGAGTTGTTGTAAGGGGTGTTGAAGGGTGTTGAAGCCTTTTGAAAAAAGTTGTATGCGTCGCTGCGTCGCCTACACCCTGCAAGTTAGATCTTTGTTCCGGCTGCACAAGTTAAGCTTTGAAGGCTGCGTACCAAAAAAAGACGATGTCAGCCAAATCAGGAACGACCACGTAGCTCATGTAGCATATGGCCCTTGTAAGACCGCGCAGTTCGTCGTCCCTAAGCCCTAAACCCTAAACCCCAAATTTTGACAACCCGAAATCCTACAAACATCTTCTGCTCCGGGAGGCAATCTCCGCGGGGGGTTCCTTGGTCCGTTTGGGAAGGGGTCCCTCATTGTCTGGGTTTAGGGTTTAGGGTTTTGGATACTTGTATGAGGGTGCCCTGTTTTCTTGAATTCCCGAATCCTAATCTGCATCCACACCTCACAGCTGCTTCACAACTTCTAGGTCCTAGGCACAAAGCCCTCCACTGCAGACCTCACAGCCTATGTTACATCGAGCCTCCACTCTCTCTCTCTCTCTCTCTCTCTGTCTCTGCCTTTGGGTTTCGGGTGAACCAAGGACGCGCTGCAAGCGGCCTGGATGCAGGATACAGACAGCGATGAGGAAAAGCCAACACCATTTTGGGAGAAGGTCCCAAAGCGGCAGGATATTTTTGCCGCGGTTGACGGCAAGCTCCAGCCGAACGACGACTTTCCAATATTCCAGGATGAACTTCTATCTGAAGCTGAAGTTGCCGTGTATCCAGACGCTGCGCTGTTATTGAGCATGTTATTCACCGAGTGTTGTTCCATAATGTAGTTGAAAAGAAACTACCAGCGCAATACTCACATCATGTACATGTATACAAGGTATATATATATACACACACATACTTATAGTTAACACAACTATGTAATTTATAAGTATATATAGATACACACACAAACTTACAGAAGCACAGACGCACTCGGCTGTATCTATGTGATGGCATACAGCTTTAGATGCATAATATTTACACATGAATAGGTATGATGCTACCTACAATTTCTGTAATATGGTGTTGCTGATTATTCTAATGTTATACTGCATCGCAACACTTTGTAATATGTATTTTGGCAAAATGTAGTGCAGCATATCTTCATTATTAGGTCTCAACGCCACATGATAGACAATATGATACTGCGTTGCTCTACACTTTTTGCATGCTATGCTGATATACATGTTAGTTCCTTTCTTGAGTGGCTTTCTAACCAAAAAAACGACTTACAATGGACACGATAGTCTAAACTCCGTGTAATACAGTGGCCTCAATAATTTCCTATGTTATTTGGGGGTCCGTAGTATTGTATTATATTATCTTATCTTATAGTATAGTATAGTATAGTATAGTATAGTACAGTATAGCATAGTATAGCATAGTATTTTATAGTATATTATATTGGACCCCAATATAAGGATTTTCAAGAAGAGCCCAGGAGAAGTCTACGGGCTGCTCCAACTTCGATTCCTGCAGCAGCCCCGCCACGCCGCAGAGATCGCACAATGCCAACTTGGTGCCTGGGCAGCCATGTTCTAAGGGTCCATGTACCCAAAATAGTGTGTAGACTTTGGCCTTCAGGTAGTCCCTATATCGGTGCTTTTGGGCCGAAGTATACTATTATTTGGGCACATGGACGCACATGGACCCTTGGGGCTCTGCACAAAAAAGAAAAGGGAGCCTTTGCAACTTGGCCTGAAGCTCTTAGCTTCCCATGTATAGTGTAGGGTTTGGGGGTAGACTATTTCTATACTTATAATAAGGAACCGGCCCAAAAAATAGTATAGGTAATTGTTAAGGCCCCTATATTAGGGCAATGTGGCAACTCTTTCGGACGTACAAGCCTTCAGAGGCCCTAAACCCTACCTTGACCCTGTAAAAAACCTTCCTTCTTAGGGTTCCTTCGTATCTTCTCTTTATATAAGCCCTCAAAAAAGGTAGGTTGTAAACCCTAACCGCTCGGAGCGCCAGGTGCTCGCATCGCAATCGCCGAGGAGCTCCCCAAAGAAGGGAGACTTTGCGCTGAGTCCAATCGTGCCTTGGCAGGTGAAGTGCTTCGAAAGTCCTTAATCCAGAAACCCCACACCCAGAAACCCTAAACCCTACCTATAGTCGCGTTGTGGTTCCTTCACCTCATGGGATCCGTAATACATAATTGGTTCAACCAAAATAAGGGAACTCCAATGGAGACGATACGTAAGCCCTAAGGCCCAACCCCTAAGCACAAACTGTAACTGTAGGCTCTTAGTCACACGCGGTAGGTGAGTTCGGCGTCTTGGTTCCAAGAGGCCGGCATGCAAGGTGGTTCCCAACAGTTCAACTTGGCTTATCTGTCTTCGGGAAGCCTTTTTTCGTTGCACTTATAATAAGGGTCGTCACACTTCGAGCTGCTGACGTTCCATACTTGGAGCGTGGGCTGTAGGTTCCAGTTGCGTTTCTGTCAGGATGCTGTTATATTTTAGGGACAACGTTGTATTCGTTTCGAAGGGTCCCGTAGATTTCGTGGAGTATTTGTGCCGAAATCGGGGGCTCTAGTGTAGACCCTATACATGGTCGGATTCTGAATGAATGGGTGCCGCCTTGCTTTAGAAATCCCATTTTGGCCGTCGGGTGCGGAAGTTCGCTTGCCAGTTGATGATTCGGGGTCTTTATGAAAACGTCGGAAGCCCCCAAAATCCAGACTTGTTGTAGGTTTTTAGAGTTTAGGGTTTAGGGCTTTACTTAAACCCTAAGCCCTAAACCCTACAAGCCTTAAAACACCACAACTCCAGACCTGTCGCTAAGCCCTAAGGCCATACCCTTAAAACCCTACCCTTACATAGCCGAAAGGACCTAACTGTTTATTTTAGGGTTCCTTACGATGGTTTCTATATATGGTTCCTTTAAAAATTCTTTTGGGCCACATGTAAACCATAATTCTTTGAGCACCCATGCCTGGTTTAACTAGAAAGACGATGATACTGCAACTGTAGCCAGGAGAGGGAAGACCATTCTACTATTGGTTTAAGGCCCGACATGGAGCCGTTGTAGCAGCCCCTGTAGAAAGGAAGGCTGAAAGGAACCCTGTTCCTAGGATTACCCTAGACCCCTAGACCATCAACCTGCAAACCCTTAAACCCCAAGCCCCTAAGCCCCAAAACCCTACACCCCCAAACCCCTAGCCCCCTAACCCCCCCGACACCTAAACCCTGGCTTTTCGCTATCTTCAGGTTGGCCCATGCCTGGCCCAGCCGGCCCTCTCTGACAGCGGCCTCTCTGAAGTTTTGTTGGTTTAGGGTTTAGGGTTTAGGGTGGCTCTTCTAAGGGTTCCTTTAAGACTACTATACGTCCATGTGGTTTAAGGGCTTAGGGTTTAGGTACACAGTTGGAATAGGGTCCCTTTATTCACGGGACACAAAGGGCATGTTTGTGTATGGCTCTGGTGGATAGACTGAATAGACCCCCTTTGCTTAAAGCCCGCAATATTCGGACATATTAGTAAGTGAATAGGGGGCTTGTTGATCAGGGGTTTACAGGCTATTTAAGAGGTGGGTTTTAAGGGAGATTAGTTCAGTTAGTGCTTTTGTCGTTTTTGTTTGGGGCTCGCTGTTGGCTTGGGAGTTTGGGAGTTTAGGCTTCTTTAGGCTTTTGGAGGTCATAGGGTTTAGTGTTTAGGGTCTTTGGGTTTTGTCAACCCTAAACCCTAAACCCTAAAGCCTACACCGTTTTGCTTGGAGACCATGGGTTCAGTTGTTTGTGGAGGGCTGAGGCGTTTAGAGGGGTTTCTCGGTCTAGGCCTGTGGGTGACTTGGGGCTTAGGGTGTCGAGAAGAGGATCAGGGTAAGTGGAATCCTATGGGCTCGGTTTTGTAGGTAGTATTAGGGGGACCCCTTCAAGGGGGGTGTTCTTCACCCTACTTTATGGTTCTCTTAAAAGGGGACTTTAAAGTGAGAGGGTCTACATCTTCAAGGGCCCCCCCCCACCCAGTCCTAACTCCCATGTTTACGGTATAGGTTTGACGATTGAAATCCTTTCAAGAAATCATTGTCTTTCAGAGTTTTGCGGGAGATTCTCAAGGTCTTCCTATCGTGGATGAACAGGCGGAGGTTCAAGAACCAGCGCAGTTTCCGCGTGATATTCAGAGCTTGAGTGGTCCTGGGTGCTTCTCAGGCTTAACTACGGTTGAGGGTATAAATCCTGCAGTACCCACCATGATTCCCCATAGTTTCGGGTCCTCAAGGTAATTCAGGATTTCTATCATGAACAGTAGCGCAGGGGGTCTAGGGAGCTGCTCGTCGGTTTGTGGAAGCGCTGGCTACTCGAAGTGGGCTCCTCTTAGAAAGTTGGGAGCTCTTAGGGGTTTTATGTGCGTTTCCGACGTGCCGGCTTCCGCTTCCGATCCGATCAACCCCTGTGCCTACAGTATAGGTATATGTTTAAAGCCGAGGGTCCAAGTACCTAAACATGACAACATCAATGGTATGCAATAATAATCGTTATAGTCATAGCCCCCGAACTTGCCTACTATCTGCAGTTTCGACTATGCTAGACCCACGTGGCTCTTGATATTTTGAACCCTGCTTAAGCTAGTGGTGCCGTGAGTTGTATGGCCAACTTTGCAGCCAGCTTTTTTGGTTTCAGACTTGAAAACAGTAGCCCTAAAAACCTGGGAAAACAGAAAACCCCAAACCCTAAACTAGCCTGAACACCTTCGTCAGCCGGAAATCTACTGGATGAGTCAGCTGAG